ACAAAGGGACGGGGCAGCCCCAGGTGTGGCCGGTGAGGATGACGAGGGCCCTGCTGGGGGGTTTCCCGGGAGCACTTTTTGTAGGGAGCTTCTGCAGGGGAGCCGTGGATCCAAGGGAGTCTCTCAAGCCAGGAATTTCCCCGATATTTTAGCTCGTAAAACCAGTGAGTTTTATTTCCTCTGTGCACAAAACCTGATGGTATTTGTTAAACTCACTTGCTAAGTTGAGCAGTGTTTGATGAACCCTTGCCTCTTTCCCTTTTCCTAGAGGGATGATCGGTCCTGCCTTGGAAGCAAGAGAATGTCCTGGTGTCTGTGAATATTTTGGGCATAAAATTGGAGGTAAACTATAGGGGACAGAGTGTATATTTGGAGTATAATAGCTCAGCAAGTCAGTAGGGGAGCAATTCAAGTCATAAACAGGAAATCAATATTTTGAGGCTGCCTTTCTGAGAGGGAATAACAATTCTTTTCCATGGGAAGGAAAGCACGTGGCCCCCATGATTTAAGGTGTAGATGACAGGCTGCCCAGGGGAGGTAAAGGACAGCGAGACTTTTGTGTCCTGACCCTTTCTGGACAAATTGGTGGAAAGGTGAAGCTTTCACTCAGTGTCTGGGTGAGCTGATGAGTCCTTTTTCTGTGAGGGGCTCCAGCCATGTCCCTGGGGGGAAGGGAGGGAGGGATGGGCTGGATGGAGCCCCGGGCATGTGCTCCTGGGAACACACTTGTCCAGGGCGCTGGGATCCGGGTCGGGCTCCGGTTCCCCTGGTGTCCAGGGATGCAGGGTCTGAGGGATTGGATCTCCCTGGGGCTTTGCTGGACACCAGGAATGAGAGGAAACGCGGTGCCAGAGCTGTGTCCCAGCAGGCTGTGTTTGCCTCTGAGGACAGAGAGCCTGTGGGCTGAGGTGAGATTGCTGTGGGTGTTGGGATGAGCAATGCAGGGAACGGGGAGCTCAGATCAGTCCTTGGGCAGGAACTGAACTTGGGACATCAGCTGGTCTGGCCCCAGAGAGCACCACTGAAATCAGCATTAATGACCTGGCCTGTGCCCACTGCCAATTATTCACCCAACAAAATTCCAAAGCACGTGTTGGTTCTGTTTTAAGAACTTAAAATAACTTTTAAACCAATAAATCACCATTTCCTTCTTCTTTTTTCCTTTTAGGTGGTGGAATTGCCTCTCTGTCCGTGTGCTGAGCTCCGGCTGCAGGGACTGTCAGGCATTGTTGGCTGTGAGTTCGTGGGGTTCTCCCTGGGTAGTTTATAGGGTAGAGATTGAACATATTTAGGTATTAATGAGGTGATCAGATGTGGAGAGGTAGGGAAATTTTGGGGGTTAAAATCTGGGACAACCTGTAGCAGAGAGAATGAAAATGTTGTGTTGAAACAGAGGTGATCAGGAGTGGGCTGGAAGGGAAAGTTGTGGGGGCGAGATAGGAGAGAGTATCCATGGCAGAGAATGAATATTTGGAGGTAA